CCGCATGTGCAGCTGTGCAGCAACTTTCAGCTAAGAAGTCCAAGAAAACAAATATCATATATGATGATTTTACAAATATCACTGTCAAGCCATTAGGTTAGTAAAATCATCATATATGATATTTGTTTTCTCCGACTTCTTAGTTGAAAGGTGTTGCGCATACCGCGGAAGTTGATTTGGAGGAAAATTTTGCGGCAGCAAGTAAAAGCCTTCGTCGAGTTATAATGTTTGCAGATTCGTTATATCTGTGAAGTGGTGATGGTTGAGATTGACACGAACGAACTGCCAGCATCTCAAAGCCCTTGTCACATCTAAAGGCCAACAATTCTTGTTGTTTTGCTTTTTTTATTTTCATGTTACATGTCACTTGATCGTTTTTTATTCGATTATCGGGTTAACCATCATAAACTTTTTGAAGGATGTTTGTTCATGGTGATTCTGTGGCTTCAAAGGCATGCTTTTGTTTTTAACATGAAATACTTCAATCACTATTACTGCATTTTGTTGAATGGGATTGCATAATGTGCTTTCATTTATTGCTGCTAAAAATATTAATTATGCTGATGATTTATTAGTGAATCTCAAAGCTTGTATTTTTAGACTATTGTAATTCGTTTTTTCAGTTTAAAGTAAATATATATATATATGCTTATCTATATCTATATTTATATTTATATAGATGTAAAGAGGTTGTTGGAAAAATACATTAATAGAAAGTTTGACGAAATAAATATATCATTTGACTTACTATTAATGGAAAGTTGGAAAAACCACATGTGAATCTTTAGTAACAAAATTTGAATACTATTTTTTTGGTAACAAATTTGAAGATTTTAAGGCAAAATTTGAATCTCATTTTTTTCGTATCATGTTTTTTTTTTTTTACCAAAATTTAAATCATATCTTTTTTAGTAACAAATTGAGAGATTTAAATCATAAGTTTGTTTTTTAATTCATGTATGTCGTTTTAAAAGCCTCGGACATGTCGAGAATTTTTTGGGTTGGTGAATGCTTGTAATAATTTATTCGCGCGGTGAGACACCGCATAGTTTAAATGTGTCAATTATTTATAAAAACAATTGCAAATAAAAATATTAAAAATTGTGCCAATTAGATACAAATTTAGGAAACAAATAGTTGTATAATTCTTAACCAATTTTTTCAAATCTTATTGAATAATTTTTTTTCAACCAACTGTAACACCCCGCTATCTTATTAGTATCAGAGTGAATTTTTCGCAACTTTATTTCGAAAGTACTTGTAAATTTTTCGAAATCATTTAACTTATCTAGGAATGCTACTATAAAAACTTACTCGTACTGAAAACTCGTTTTCTTTAATTTGGGCTTTTTTTACTTTTCCCTTGTTTGGTTGGGATTATTGGGTAGGGGGGGAGGAATTTTAACTTAAAATCCCCTCCCCTCTCCATTTTTGCTCCCTCCAAAAATGGGAGAATTTGGAGAGAGTGAAAATTTTAATACATGAAGTTACAATTTTACCCTTCTTGAACATAATATTTTATTTTTTTTATTTCTAACATCATTAAGGATATATTTGCCATTGTAACATTATTTTCCTCCCCTTCCATTTTCTAACCAAAAAATGTTTACCATTTTCCTTTCATTCTCCTCTTACAAAATCCCTCCAAACAAGGCCTCCCCTCCCCTCCCTTTCCTTCCATTAGAATCCCTCCCCTCCCTTCCCCTCAGTTGAACCAAACATAGCATTTGGGGTTAGGTCACTTATATTTATTTATAGAATTATCCTCATATCTTAAGGCCAAAGGACTCTCACCACTTGCTCCCGGCATTACATTTCATTACATTTTAACATCTCAGTTATGCAAGCTGTATGGGGTAAAGTTTGCACTTCCCTTTAGTTAAGTACTAAGAGCATTCAATTGGGTGAAAAACTGATTTTGGGCACTGAATAAATAAATTCACAGCATAGCAGTAGAGTATTGTTACCTGGTTTAGAAATTCATCGAGCCTTCTCGCGGCTAGTATGATACTACCTTCAGAAATATCTGTCATTTCAACAACTTCTGCAAAAGTTGCTCCCTGGAAAAGAATAATATTAAGAAGCATTAACTACCTAGAAGATCAATAACAAAAAAATCTTATCCGACTTGTCTCAAACAATGTAAGCAAGATATATCAGGTTATTTTTCATTTTTTTTCCTCTCAATTGAAATGAAATAATTGAAGTGAACTTGAAGTTGCATTTGGTTGGAGGGATGTCAAATGACTCTATATAAGGATTAGGAAATCCACCAAAAGACCCTAAAAATAGTTTAAAATGGGAGCCTAAGAATTCAAACTTCCTTGTATGTATCATCAATCAAACTTATCCCACTTATTACCGTGGATATTGAAACCTCTACTTTTAAAATCTTCCATCCAAATGAAGCCTCAAATCAGATAACTTGCTGTCTTGGCTTGCTATTTTCTGTTGACGGGACAGGCTTACAAAGCGATAAAATCAATGAACTAACCTTTGACCAACAGTAAATCACATCCATCAAGAATGGTCTAACAGACGCCTTAACATATTCATCCACATTGATTTCTAGTTTACACTTCCGTTGTATCTGCAACAAAATGTTGCCACTTATAATGAATGCAAATATTTCCTTCTTAGAGTGCTTGATCTTAATTAGTGCAGAAATAATTTATGGAAATTGATATATCATTATAATCAGAGCCAGAAAACCTTTGCTATTTTTTTAGCACTTTTTTTAAGCTGTTGCAGGGGTTCAGCAAGTTCGGCTCTTAGATGTATCTGTTCGCTCGATTTATCTCCAGCAATAAAGCAACTCACCCCAAAGATGCAACTTGATGATGGTCAAGATCATTGAAGGTGCCTGTTTCAAATGTTTTATTGAAATGAAATATCAAGATAATACTTAATAGTAAATACAGTATGCTCTACTTAACTGATTTTCAAATATGATAGGGCTATTACAGAATAATTTAAATTTTAGGAATATAAGAAATCAGCAGAATATAACAAATAATTATTGCAACAATAAAATTAAAAAAGATATAACTGAATGATGATGAAACTGCAACATCTCCATGCGAGCATACTAATTAAAGCACACAAAGCTTGTTTTCTACATTGGACCCCTTAATTTCATACATTTTTGACATGTAAATTATAGGAGGGGCTAACCTTTGAACATCAATTCTGTGACAAGTAGCCCATCCCCGGTATCTATCAGGCAAGCTGCCCGTCCTTTCAACTGAACACGCCATCATCATCAATATGACCAAGTCTTTTGAGAACACGAGAGCGATTATTAAGTTCATCCGGAAATTTTTGTAGCTGAAAATAAATAAGGAATGAATGAATATTGTTAGAATCACATATAATTCTTTTGAATATTTGGTAATCCAAGAGAGAGATATATTCAAAATCACAGACAAGAAAAAGATGACAATCCGAACAATGTGAAGGCCCAAACAAGACTCAAATAATATTAAACCCAGGCAAGTAAAATATAGCAATAAATCGAAAACATAATAATCAGTGCATTTATCATTGTTATAGTCAAACTTCAGCAAAAAGCTAATGAAATCAGTTTTTTTAGTTTGTGATATTCAGCAATCTCAAGTTTAAGTTTGTGATATTCGGCTGAACAGTGAAATTTTTCATTTTAATATAAACTTCAGCAACAATTTATTTCAAGTTTGAAGAGAAACCTCAAGTACAGCAGCTTCCTCTTCGAGCAGTGCCACCTTTTTCGCAATCTCAGGTAATGTCTGAAGAAGCAGAAGTTAATTCTCTTTATTGCGACCAATCTATCAGCACAACTGTAACTAATCTAGTAGTTATACCTTCTCATGCTGACATTGATGGAAGGAATTTCTAATGACATGCTCAGCTGTAAATTGTCCCTCGGCACGACTCATTAAATTCAGAATTGAGTAGTAGCTCAACCTGAAAGTACTGAGCAATGGTGCAGGCTTGCCTAAAACCATGTCCTTAAGGGTATTCATCTCCATCTGGTAACAAATAAATAAATAACCATTACAATAAAAGTACAGTTAAATTACAGGTGTGCATTACCAGAAATATTTGGAATCTGACAATTTCATATGCTGCAGATTAAAGGTGTACTTCTGTTATATTTAAATTGAAGTAGCAGTCTTCTTAATATAGGGTTCGGTCATGCCTCTTTTCGCCAAACCATTCCAAGAGAACCTATCTTTTCAAATGGATAATTTTTATATGATTTTACTTTAATTTCCATTCCCAATAAAAGAGTGTTCGTATTATCATGAAGACAAAAAAAATTGCATCTGATGAAACTAGACATAGTTCCGTACTTGCGAAATTCTTAGACTTGCAAGTTGCAAAATGTCGCACAATCTTCACCAATATATAGTCCAGTGTATTACTACACAAGTTGAAGTGATCCATTTGGTTGCATATTATCTGGCATGTGGCCTTTCTAAATGATCGTGTATAATACAAGTTTTTAACACTAAGAAGGTAATAAAAGATAAGGTAAACTATGAAAGAGTGATTGATGTACGAAATATTGTCCCGTATGCTAATTTCTAATGAACACGGATCACGACCAAATGGATACGTAAAATACACCATCCAGGGCAGCCTAATGTTTAAGAAAATAAACAAGTGAGAGAAAGAAAGAAAAGAGGAAGCATTGATCATACTTTATCGTCCACCATTATAAAACAAAAACCCATCTCATCTTTACCAGGACGCCCAGCTCTACCACTCATCTGCAACACAGGCATATAAGTCAACAATTATATAAGCAAATCAGATATAATACAGAAATTGAAGCAGAACAAAATCTACTCACCTGGATATACTCCACATATCCAATATAACGATGACTATCACCATCCCATTTTTTGACACTTGAGAAAACAACAGTTTTTGCAGGCATATTCAACCCCATGGTGAACTGCATACATAAAATTTGGTAAAATGGTGCAAAACGTTATCCTTACAGGAACATATTGACAAGGTTACACAAGATATGTCGATAAAACAGATCGGAAGTACAAGGAAGAACATAAAAATCTTTATAATGATATTTTATGATATAAAGAGTTGCTGTCAAATGAACAGCTCAGATGCACATGATCTTGATTAAAAAAAAAAAAAAACTATACCGTCTCCGTGGCAAAAAGAGCCTTAACTAGTTCTTCTTGGAAAAGTAGTTCCACGAGTTCCTTGATAATGGGGAGCAGGCCTGAATGATGGACAGCAATCCCTCTCTGAAGCAACGGCAACATGAAATAAATTGCTCGCAGATTCCTATCCTCCTCATTCAAAAATTGTATTGCATTTCTAAACATTATCTTCACATCATCTTTCTCTCATTGTGTATTAAAATCATGCTTGGACATAGACATGGCATGTTGTTGACACTCTATTCTGCTGAAACTAAAAATTATGACAGGTTGTAATTTCAGCTCCATTATCATCTGCAATGACAGCATTTACGGAGTGAACACTGAACCACATATAAGACAAGACGATTCAAAATAAAGTACAAATTAGGCACAGTGAATCAACCAAACTCAGACATCCACAATTGGAAAAGAACACATTATGCTCACTAATACAAGGATACAGGTAGTCCAATAACTAAATATCGCGTGGAAGGTGGCAGTCTCTGATATTGAGCATCTTACATTCGCGATTTTGTATGTGTTAGAACCAGCAGAAGCATTTCCACCCTTAGCAATTCTGCAACTAGCCTTGGAATTTGCATTTTTCTTTCCATCGGAGAAATTTTGCTTCGTGAATGTATCTTGAAGCTTCAAAAAGTTTTCCTCTTTAAACTTCTTGTTCTCAACTACAAGATAAGGTGTGGAACTTCCCATTGGGAACCCATAATGGGTTCACCCCGCCTCGACATTATGGGTTCCCAATGGGAGGTTCCACACCTTATCTTGTATAGACGACATGGCACGGCTGCTTGTGTATATTACATATCCACTCAGCAAACTGAGTCGCGTTGGACATTGCTGCCGAAAGGAAAACCATCTTAATGGTGGGGGCAAGAAAATAATACTTTCTTCCCAAACAACACCTCTTTCATGATCCTTCATGTAATGTGTCCCATCAAATATGACCCAAGCGACCTCCTTCAGCACCACAGAATCTCTATAAAGCATCCCTCTGAGGATCTCGGTAGTCATCACCAAACAACTTGCATTAGGAGAAAGTGTCACACCGCCCGTCATCAAGCCCACATCGGAAAACTCCTGACTCAGCTCCTGGTATTTCTGATTGCTCAACGCTTTTAATGGGGAAGAATATATAACCCTCTGCTTGTCCCTAAAAGCCATGGCAATGGCATACTCGGTAACTACAATTTTCCCCGCGGAAGTGTGTGCCGACACCAAAATTGACTCCTTCCTCTCCAAACAAGACACTGAAACCTCCTGAAAAGGATCAAGCTTAAATTGGTAGGTCTTGGCCCTTTCCCCGCTATAAAACGGATCCGAAAGTGTTCCATGAATTGATTCATCATTGCTTGAAGTATAACCGCATGGAACTGCCACCTCATGTACACATTTTCGGGGTAATTTACTCCTCCTGGAGGCAGATTTTTGTTCGGGCACATCCTGTCCACCTTCCGAATTATCTTCCGGTTGTTTTCTTTTTAGAGATGATGGAGATTCATCCATCTGTGCCTCCTTGTAATTAGTATCCAAAGGTAAGGATCCCAATTTTGTTTCCCGTGCTACTCCTGATGAACAGGTAACCTATAACAGAGCAGCAATAAAACATAAAATTCAGGTTTCATCACATCCAAACAACGTTAGTATTTTCCTTTCGACGCCCTCCCACAGACTCTCACAGCTAGATGAGCAAATGGCATATGATTAGAGCGCCTGAGAGGGTGAGTTAGAAAAAAGGTAATTTATGGGCGCAAAGTATACAAATTAAATGCAAAAATTGGCCAAAATCCATAAAAAATGAAAAGGGTGGAACCCTAAAATCTGAACAAATAATGTCACATCTATGTATGAAGCAGAAGCCATGCAGAATCAAGAATCAAGTAATATCAGTTTTGCATCATTCGCGGGACAAAATATCGTATATAGAAGAGCTTACCCAGAGATTTGAAGAGATTAAACCTCAACGTGTGTTTGTGAGTGCTTAAGCCATAACCTTGAATAGTTTGAAAATAGTTTCCAGGTTACAAGCGGTACCTGAGCATAGGACTGACCGTAATGTGGGGTAGAGGAGGGACTTAAACGTTTGTGGACATCGGAGAGGGCTGAGTGGTTTTGGTTGAGGCGTCGATCTTCTCTGGTGAAGCAGACGGCATTACGACCGGCGACTGAAAAACACCAGTCTGTGTCTCTTGAAGATGCGAGGATTCCGGTGGTGATGAATCACGAGCAGGGATCGTAGAGATAGTGTACCTAGGGCGTTTCGAACCCCTCTCCTTACTCTTCTTGTGACGTTTCTTGAATTTGTCTTTGCTACCAGCCATGGAGTAGAAACAGCGATGGGAATTTGAATTTTGAATTTTAGGGTTGCACTTGGGCAGCACAGAAAGAATAGAAAAGAAGAAAGTGATTTGGGAAGAAGGTGAATGAGTGTGAGAAAGAAATTCACCTTCTTCCCAAATCACTTTCTTCTTTTCTATTCTCTCTGGTCTGCCCAAGTTCGCAACCCTAAAATTCAAAATTCCCCATCGCTGTTTCTATTCCATGGCTGGTAGCAAAGACAAATCCAAAAAACGTCACAAGAAGAGTAAGGAGAGGGGTTCGAAACGCCCTAGGTACACTATCTCTGCGATCCCTGCTCGTGATTCGTGACCACCGGAATCCTCGCATCTTCAAGAGACACAGACGGGTGTTTTTCGTGACGCCGTCTGCTTCACCAGAGAAGACCGACGCCTCAGCCAAAACCACTCAGTCCTCTCCGATGTCCACAAACGTTTTAGTCCCACCTCTACCCCACATTACGGTCAGTCCCATGCTCCCATGCTTAGGTACCGCTTGTAAAGATCGCTTGATCAAGGCCTTCCCAATTGTTCCTTCAGTTGCTTCAGAGCACGTTTGGTGGAGGAGACGACAAGATTATGGGCTTAATCTGGGCATTGTCTTACATTTGTTTCCCATGATTGTGGCCCGTCCGACTAGATGAGGCCCGCGATCTAAATGGGAGTTCTTGAGAATTGCCGATTATTTGATCTCGCCTTGGAGGTAAGATTATTTGCATCTGTACAGTATTTATATGATCAAACTACCAATTTACCCCCATAAAGTGACTAAAATTCCTATATTACCCTTACAACTCATCAAATTTACCTTAAAAAAAAAGGCATCAGGTTATACAGTGTTTTAAAACGCGTATAGCGTATTGCGTCGCGTTTTAGTTTTTGTAAGGTAAATAACGTAGCGTGTTGTGTAAGCTATTCGAGCAATTCACTTTAATGCCAAAAGTAATAATATATATCATCATACAAGCAAATAAATAATTGAAATGGCTATAAACTAACTTGGACATTAAATTTAAGACATAACGTTCAAATATTAATCATAAAAACAACCAAAGTCCTCATCATATCATGCTTGTTGACCAATCACAATAGTAATCTCATAATCTCTTCAGTTATGTTTGGAATCTTTAATCCCATTTTCTTAGCCTTAGTGATTAAACAAACAGTCAATTCAGTTGAATTATATTTTCATATTTTCAAAACAAAAGTTCTTTGACTACTCAAAACAAAACTGGACATATTTTCATATTTGATTAAATTCAAAGCACAAGGCGAAACAAGACTACTCAAACTTGATTTGTGTTCAATTCATTTAAAGCTCATTGAGGCTCCCATTACATGAATAAATAATAAATAATGGACAAGTACAATTTTGAGGATTGTTGGAAAATAATTATAAGGGGTCCCTGCCTTCATTTACACAAGAAATAACCTCTAAAGCAAGCTTAAACAAAGAGCAACCTTCAAATCTCTATTCTTTTCAAGTAATCATCAGGCACTGGGACACCAGACACACAAGAAACACTAATACAAAAGATAGAAATTCATCTAAATACACAGCAAAATCTGATATACTTGGACACATATCCAATTTTTTTTTTCTAAATTACCTTTAGAGTTGAAAGCCGACGAGCTGCCGAGCTGGGGATTTAGGGTACCGAGAGGCGAGGGGAACAGAGACTTTGGAGGTGGCGGAGTCGAAGAGCGGGGAATCTCGGAGTGACGACGAGATGCGCGAGCCGAGGTGGAGACGTGGTAGAGGCGGAGTGAATCTGCGATGGAGCCGTTCAGTTGCAGTGGAGGAGAAGGTGGAGACTGGAGGGCGAGAAGGTGAAGAGAGAATGACTGAACGAGGGTTTTGTGATTTGGCTGCGATTTTTTTTTTTTCTTTTTTTTTAACTTCTGCCTTTAAAATTTATAAATAA